CCGTGTCCGCCAGCGAGAAGATCACGGCGTTGGGGCCGGCGTCGAAGGTGTAGGCCACCTACGGCAGAGCGCAGGCCGTGAGCACAGCCCGGGCACGGGCGCCTCCCCCAGCCGCGTCCCAAACGCCCGCCTGCCTCACCGCCGCAGCCTTGGCCGGCCCAGGCACGTCCCCATGCCCCGGTGCCCTGCAGTGCCCACCCGAGCAGGGAGCAGGGAACTCGGGGCTGACCAGAAAAGGCCGGTTCTTACCAGCCACTTGGGTTCCCACCCCACCCCTGCGAGATGCACACTCCTGGCTCACTGCTGGGGGGGCAACAGATCTGAGTCCTCTGGATCCAGTATTCATGAACAGCCCCCCCATGCACACACACTGCTCCCCCCCAAAGAGAAACAGGCCCCCTGACGCACAAGAGCCAACAGCTGCACCTTGCCCTCCGGCAGCTTGGCCTGCAGGGTTCCCATGTGCTCCCCGAGAGAGCCAGGGCCGGGGCAGGCTCGCCGCGGAGGAAGCGCTGCAGAATTTGGGCAAGTCACGCGCCCAGGGAGGCCGATTCGAGCTGGGGAGGGCAGGTCCCGGAGGGCAGCAAGGAGTCTCGTGCCACCCCGGGGCTCTCACCACTAGGACGGTCCCTCCTGCGCAGCGACCAGCGCAGCCCCACTCCCGTCTGCTGCCTGACCCTGGGGTTGGATGCTGCAGCTTGGCAGCCCGCAGCCCAGAACTACCCTTGCTGCTCCAGGCTGCCGTCGTGGGGGGCCTCTTGGGTGCCAGGGGAGAACATGGTAAAATTCCTTCGGCTCCCACACTCCTCTTGGGGAAAGCCGAGGACCTGTCCGACCCACCCCCCAATGCGTTGTGAGCGCCCGCGGCGCCGGACAGCGTTCCCCCTGGGATTCTGTACTTTCGCGTGCGGAATAAATTTTGTGCTGTGCCCCAACATGGAGGGAGGTGATGTGTGGTGGGGGTGGAGCCCTGGGGTTCAGAGTGTGGGAGGGGGCTCAGCACGGAGGCAGAGAGTTGAGAGCTCCGGCTGGGGGTGCAGCTTCTGGGGAGGGGCTGGGGATGAGGGGTTTGGGCGCAGGAGGGGGCTCAGGGCAGGACACAGGGGAGGGAGGCTGAGGGGTTGGGGGAGGGGGTGGGCCCCACAGCTGGGGGCAAGG